TGGCTGTGTTTTGCTGCTTTAATTAGAACACGAGATAAAGCTTGTGGCTTTTTCCTGCAGAGAGGGCAGGGGTAGGTGGCTGGGAGGTTCCTGGGGCTGAGGAGATGTTCCTGTTTGCTTTCCATCATCACGCTCAGCCAGGAGCCACACTGCCCTCTGCTTAACCTGTGATTGCAACAAAGGCCCCGTCGTGTTTCTCACCAGCAGCGTGTGCTGGTGGGAGCACTGGAGAGCCAGGGCAGAGGATGCTGTGCCTGGAATCTCCAAGGTTAAGAGGGAAATCAAGAGGCAGCAGAACCAGTGGTCTTTTCCTGCTGCTTGGTGTGCTAAGGGATTGGGAAACTGGGATTAGGATAGTCCTGCCGTGCTTGGGGCCCTGGGGCTTTCTTGAAGTTAGGCTGGATGCAGTGTCTGTCCCCTTCATCTGGGAGTTCTTGATCTCAGCAGGCATTTGAGTAGTGGCATTTTAATGTGACACTCCCTCTGGGCTTAACCTGGCAGGAGAAGGCCAGAAATGAGCAGCAGCATCATCTCCTGGAGGTTTCCTGGAGCCTCCTCCATGGTGTTCTCATGGGAGATGTTCCTGGCAGGGCTGGCTCCTGCAGGAAGGATCGCTCTGGTGCTTTGGGACAGACTGGGGCAGAAGGGGATGTGCCAACTTGTAAAGCAGCAGGTTGCTGGTTTCCTTCAGGAGGAGCACTGCTCTGGGGACACATCCAGCCAGCTGCTGCTTGGAGTCTTGGCTGGAGGGTGGCGGGAGCGTCCCAGACGTGCGGACGTGCCCCAGCCGTGGGGAAGCGCCTGAATCCTGACAATGCCACCCGGCTTGTCCGGACCGCGGCGTGTGGGGGGACGTTACCGCTTTGTAGAATCCCGAGCTGTCCATCTGTTTCATTGTTGTATTGTTTGGGTTCTAGGGTTGTTTTTTATGAAGACAGATTAAATGTAAATAGCCTTTTTTTTGGAACAAACCGCAACGTGCTCGACCTCGTCAACTATTTTATGGTACTAATGCAACACTAATAAAACTGGACATGAAAGCACACACCCGTCCCCTGAGTCGTCTCTCAGCAGGGGCTGCTCTGCCATGCCTGGGGCAGTTGTTTGAGGGAGGAAACAGCAGCGTGGCTTTCTGCTGGGGGGGTTCCCTTGTGTTATTTATCCAGCTGCCACTTCCAGGGCAGAGCTGGTGCACTGGCACGTCCTTCCTCAGCACCGAGCCCTCCTGTAGTTTTTGCAGCCCTGCTGTTCTCCTGGCTGCCTCCTTTCCCAGAAGGATCTGCTCGCCTCCTGCTGCTCTCCTGGATATGACAGCCCTCTCCAGCACTCGGTCCTCACTTCTGCACAGCGAGAAAGGACCAGGCTGGTGCCTGTTTCGATCTAGGGGCTGTGTGGGACGGACACGGTAGTGTTGGGGGACCAAGGGGGACATTTCAGGGGGGAAGACCGAAGCTGTGTGTTCTCCTGGGAAGACTGTGGGACAGGGATGTGTGGGATTCCAAGCACCTGGCCTTGGTGCTGGGGAGTCAGAAGGTAGAGAGATAAAGGAAAGAGGAGAGCTAAGCTGTTGTTTTGAGGGAGGAAAGTGAAGAAATTTTGAGAAATGGGCCCATTAGGATTCAGGATGTTGGAGGCAGGAATGGAAATACTTGTGCTGTCGTGACCCAAGGGTGAGGGGTGACAGCTGGTGGAGCAGAGAGCTGGGGTGAAGGGAGCCCCTCAGCACAGGCCAGGCTGCTCTCAAAGGACACAGGTCTCAGTGGATATCTCAGATGCTCTGCATGGCCCAGCCAGGTCCAAGGCCTTTGCTGGAAGAGGGGACACACAACCCACATATGATGGCACAGAGCAGGCATTGGATCATTCCAGGCAGGAGGAATGGGGGTAGCCCAGGAGAGAGCAAACTCTGGAGTGAAGGAACAGCACCTAAAGCCATGGAGAGGGTCTGGCTGGTGCTGAAATGGGGAGGGAACCATGGGAGAGCTGAGGGAGACAAACACATGAAGGCTGTCTATTTTCTGCACAGGTTCAGCTGTGAACTTGCACTGATGGCCTGGCTGTATGAAAGGGTCACACCCTGAGCATCACCTTTTAGAGCCCATGGAGAAATTTGTCTCGGCACATGAATGAAGGTGTGAGTGGAGAGGACTGGCGTGGTGGGAAGGCTCCTGTGCTGCTGGGGGAAGCAGAGGACCAGCCCCACATCAGCAGGGAGAGCAGCAAGCCACGTGCCCTTGGCACACTCTGCTGTTGCCTGGAAGAGAGGAGAAGGAAATGAGGGCTGGGTGGAGCAAGAATGACTTTGGGTCGGAGTGTACCAGGTTGTGTGCAATGGGCCTGGAGAGCCTCCCTCATCCACATGCACTGGACAGAGGAATTTCTGCCAGGCAGCCTAGGGCTGGGCTCTCAAAGCACTGGCATCTTTCTTTTGCAGGTCTGGGCCTTTCTCAGACCTTGTGCACCCTCACTGCCACGGGAGAGGTGTCAAACACAAGTGATGCCCCTCCAGGATGCACCAAAAGCCCTCTGGGAGTCTGGGTTTGCACGGTGGGAGTCGGTGGCACCCACGGGAGTGGGGTTTGGTGGGGGGAGATGGGGCATTGCAACAGCCGAGTCCGGCAGCTCCAGCTCGTCCCCTCCCTCTGCACAACACCCTGGCCCTGACCACAGCTGGTGCTTAACCTGGAAGAGGAACAGCAGGGAAGACCCGACGTGTTTCTGTTGCTCTCGTTTAAAACACGATTTAGCATCTGGAAATAGCGGTCGACGCCATGCGAGCGTCTGCTTCTCCGTGTGCAACTACCGAGTGCGCTGGGATGCGATCTGTAAATATTTGTCCTGGATAATTTTTCTGTGTCCTACTGGATTATTTTCAGCTCGGCAGAGCGGTTGCAGCAGCAGCCTGGGGAGGGCCAGGCCTCGTGTCCTGCGGTGTGGCCGGCGCCTGTGCCGGCACGCGCTTCCCCGGATGGCTCGGGGAGGAGGAAAAGCTGCTCCCCAGCGCGCTGACCTTTTTTGGCTGACCGATTTTCACCCCCACAAGTGTTTTCCTCGCTCAGCCGTGCTCCTCGCACTTACTGGGAACATAAAAGCAGAGCCCTGTGCCCTCCTGAGGTCTGAGGAGTGTCGGATATTTGGTGTTATAGGGTTGTTTTCCTGACACACAAAGCAAATTTTAACAAAAGTCCTGTTCTTTCTGAAAAATTAGATGTCTTTTGGCAGATGTCAATGTTTTGGGCGATCCTGTGTTTTTTGGGGTGCTTTTTGGCATCAGCCAGTTCCTGTAGGAGAGGAAGTGACAGTGGCAACGTGCAAGTTTTGCAGAGTGAGCTGGAGCTGACAGCTCTTGGACAACTGTGCAATAACCACGGGGCTGCTGAGGAGACACCTGGACAGGAGCTGTGCGGGGCTGAAGAAGGGCTGTACCTGCGTGGTGCAGCCCTGGTGTGCCCAGGACCAGTGACACCCGCAGGCCGGCGGGCGAGGGAGAGCTAAAGCCATCATTTCACCTCTCAGGCGGACACCTGAGGAGGGGGGAAAGGCCCAGTGTGGCAGTGGGGGACACAAGCGCAGGGGGGACCCAAGTGGGACTGTGCAGGAGTGGGGAGTGTGAGCAGGAGGGGTGTCTAGGGCTGCAGACGGGTGTGGGTGCGGGTGTGCCTGTGCAGGGCCCTGCTGTGGATGGCCTGTAGCAGCCGGGTGTGTGTGAGGAGGACTCTGTGTGTGTGTGTGTGTGTGTGAGGACAAGGCAGCGTGAGGGCCATCCAAAACCACAGTACCTGTAGGTGATGGAGGCTGTGTGTGAATACAGGCGCATGAGAAGGCCTGTGGGTACAGGCACACACGGTGTTTGTGTGTGTGTGTGTGTGTGTGTGTGAGTCTGTGCCTGAGGACAATCGGCTGCGTGTGTGGGGCTGCCGTGCCAGGTCAGGGCCAGTGCATCAGGAGGGCAGAGCCTCCGGAGAGCGGAGAGCTGTGAGAGGGTAGGGGTGTTGTGTGTGAAGACAGGCGGTCAGTGTGTGACTGTGTGTGTGTCACTGTGTGTGTGTCTGTGTGTGAGGACAGGCGGTGTGTGCCTGTGTGTGTGCCTGTGTGTGAGGACAGGCAGTGTGTGACTGTGTGTGTAAAGACAGGCGGTCAGTGTGTGACTGTGTGTGACTGTGTGTGTGACTGCGTGTGTGAAGGTGTGTGAGGACAGGCAGTGTGTGACTGTGAGGACAGGCGATCAGTGTGTGCCTGTGTGTGAGGACAGGCAGTCAGTGTGTGCCTGTGTGTGTGTCTGTGTGTGAGGACAGGCGGTGTGTGTCTGTGTGTGTGAAGGTGTGTGAGCACAGGCGGTGTGTGCCTGTGTGTGTGTCTGTGTGTGAGCACAGGCGGTGTGTGCCTGTGTGTGTGTCTGTGTGTGAGGACAGGCGGTGTGTGACTGTGTGTGTGAAGGTGTGTGAGGACAGGCGGTGTGTGACTGTGTGTGTGAAGGTGTGTGAGCACAGGCGGTGTGTGACTGTGTGTGTGTCTGTGTGTGAGGACAGGCGGTGTGTGCCTGTGTGTGTGTCTGTGTGTGATCACAGGCGGTGTGTGACTGTGNGGGGGCTCGGGGCTGGGGCAGATCCGGGCTGGGGCAGGGTGGGATGGGTGAGCGGGGCTGGAGCGGAGCAGCCACGGCGCCAGGCCCCGGGATGGGGCCCAGCTCGGATGGGGGGGTCATGCGAGGTTCTCGGGGTGGGGAACCAGGAGGAGTCGCTGAGATAAGGAGCACAAAGATGGGCAGAGGCTGCTGGTAGACCTGGGGGCTGGTGTGAGGCACGTCCTGCAGATCTTGGCCTCCCCTTCCACTCTTGCTGTTTTGTTGTGTGCTTTCCCATTAGTCTTCTGTTCAGGGTTGTGCTCCTGTCTGATTGTCCTTTGTTTTGGCTCACGTGAAGAGAAAGGAGAGGCAACGGGGTTTGGGACTGTTTTATGGAACGTAAACTGAGGGTGGTCTGGCATGAATTTGTGCTCGGCCATTTTCCTTCATAAAAGCTGTTCTGTGGAGCTTCCTTCTCCCCAGGACTATAGGCTGCACAGGAAGATATTTCTGTGGAGTTCCCTCCGTTTCAAAATGCCCTGTTTCTTGTGGAGTTCTGCAAAACCAAAGTAAAGTAAACAAGAGAAAAAATATAGCGAAGGTGGCCAAGCCATCCTGTCTGGCTTCTCTCCATCAACAACTGCTTTCTGTTCTTTCTGCTCTCCTGGCCTACACTTACTTTTTACCCTGAAAAAAGGCGCTTCTTTTGTCATGTTTGTACTTTTTTTTTTTCTGGTTGCACCTGGTTTCGCAGAGGTATAAGAGCTGACTCTTGGCTGTCCCAGCTTTGTGTTTCGGGTTGCCCCAAGCTGATAGTGTGCCTGTGTTAGCATTATATTGGTTTGGAGATGCTGAGAGCAGGATGATCAGCAAGATGAGCTGTGGAAATTCACCCTGGTGTGACTTGCGAGGGGAATAGTTTCCTGGAAAATTCTTGTTCAGCACTGAATGGACAGGTCTTGTGGGGAGTGCATCTCTTAGGACTTTGTACGGCTAAATCTGTAGTGTGCATCCCACAGAAGGTGGGGAAGCATCTCTGCAGGTCTCTAGCTTGACCTCCTGCTAGAAAATTCCCCGGTAGATCCGACTGCTCAGGGCTGTATCCATCCCAGGCTCTAAGAATGGTGATGCCACTCTTACTTTGGGTCCCCTGTCCAGTGTTTGACCACGAATAGAAAATATGATAGAAATATTAATTATAGAAAACATTTGTTCTCATATGCCTAGATGGATTTTCTCTTGCTCCAGCTGGGGTTCCCCATCCCGTTATCCCCCATTTTATCCCTGCTTCTGAGTGGGTCTGGCTGATCCTTGAGGGATGCCATTAGTAACCAGCAACCCAGTGAAGGCTGTAACTGCTGATTGTGATCCTTTAAACCTGGTGTTACAGTTCTCCCCCTACCTTTATCCGCCAGTGTTTCAAGCATTTTTGTTTGAAGGATGCTGTGGGAGGCTTAGCAGGGCCTTTGACATGAAGTCAAGGTGTCCAACACCCCCTGCTCTCCCCTCAGCCACAGAGCCGGTCTCTTTGTCCCAGATGGGGGAGTCATGTTGGCCAGGTGTGATTTGCCTTTGGAATATCCATTTTGGCTGGTCTCAGTTACCTTTTTGTCCTTCCTGCACTTGGAAATGGTGCCCAGGATTTGCTCCATAGCCTTTCTGGGCAGAGGGCAAGGCAGCTGGCTGCTGGCCGAGGTTACGGTGCTCTGTTATGGTCCATATGGATGAAGTCTCGATTTGATGTATTACCAAGATCAACATATGGGTGGATGCAGCTGTTTCTGTGTGAGAGCTCTGTGCAGCCTGAGCCCAGGAGTGTGCGTTATCGAATTGTTTCTGACCTCTGGTGCTGCTGTCTCCCACTAATGGTTTTGTGCACTGAAGTTGTGTGTGAACTCCAGGGCAGGATTAAATCCGGAATGGGATTTGTGCACAGTCATTTCATACACTTCCCACTGGAAGACAAACACTCAGCAGATAATCTCTCATTACACTTGTGACTACCGGATGCGCCGCGTGAACTCCAGACCTAACAGCTGCCAAAAGCAGCTTGCTCACTACAGATCAATACTGCTCCTGGAAGTGTATGTTCACTCTGAAAGGATGGTCACTGCTTCAGGCCTGCTCATGAAACACCACGAATTTCTGTTTTCAGAAGCCTGTGGACATGGAGTGTGTTGTTCTCTCCATGTGTCCTTGGGTAGAGGAGCTGAGGAGCCTGCGCTGGGGGGGCTGAAGTGTTCCCCTTTGTGCTGAGAAGCAGAGTGACCGTGCTGGGGGGCTGAGGAGCTGCCCCTTGAGTGCTTGTCAGGCTCTGTGGATAAGCTGACTGGTGGCATCCAGTTGTTTGGAGAGAGCAACTGGTTCTGCTGGATCCTGCCGAGGTTCTCCTGGTAGGTTTCTGGTGGGGGAGTTGGTTTCCAATACGAATGGGACTGTCACAGAGATGTAAAACTTCGCAAATGTGTGGGGACGAATGCCAGGGCATCAAATTCCAGAATGAAACGGGGGATCTTAGTTGTTGGCCAGTAGGAAATCCTGGAATCGCTGCCTCCAGTGTAGCAGAAGTGGAGATTTTCTTAACAGCTGCTGTACAGCCATGAAACAAATGGCAGCACGAAGCAAGTGGACTGCTTTCACTTGGAAGGAGTCATGGTGGGCTGGTTTGCCTCTTCATGGAGCAGACTGGCAGCCTGCACGATCACAGACCGTATGGGAATGTTGGATAAACACCAGATCGGAGAAACTTGGGACCTCTGAGCTGGAATTTGGGGCCTCTGATGAAAAAATGCACGTGGGAGAGAGATGTTCATTGTTCTAGCTGGTGCCAGGCTCTGCTTTCAGGAGAGTGCTGTGTCAGCTGCCTGGAAGAGAACAGGTCATCTTGGTATCAAGAGACTTTCCAGCAGGTATTCTGTCTCTGCCTTCTCCTTAACTCTGGTGCCACAAGTATTCCTTTAGTGGTGGCCATTGACTGAGCCCCTCTGCAGGTTTATTGCCCCTATGGCATTCCCTTGATGCAGTGAAACAATGATTTCTTGCAATTTCGTCTTGCTCTGATTTGAGGAACTTAATTTTTTCCACCTCCCTCCTCCTCACTTTTTGTTTTTTCCTGGATTATTTTTAATCTTGCATCAGCTACCCAATCTGGTTCACTGTGGGACTGTGTGAACAGCTGAATGGGCTCAGTGGGAGGGCAGGGAACAAGGGGATGGGGAAAGAAAGGATAGGAAGGATGGAGGAAAAACTACTGAAGACAACACTTTTGCTGAGACAAATACCAGTTTATGCTTTCAGATGGAGTATTTGATGTGTTTTTGACTTCTATGGGTTACCCTCTTCTTTGGGAGCGTGCTTAGCTGCAAAATTGTCACTGTTTTTGAGTCTGTGGTACGGTTTAAGGTGTGTTTAAATGGCATTGGGAGATCAGATCACAAGCCAGTTAAGCACAGGAGTACTTGCTGCATCCAACACCTCTAAAGCGAGGGAAGTGGTGGCCCACAGTGCACCCGAGGTTCACAGCAGCTTTATTCCAGTGTGCAGCAGGCTGAACTTACTGGAATCCAGAACTCACTGGGTGTTGTTCATTACTGTAAAGCTGGTGTGTCTGCTGCCTGTGCTGCAGTCACACATCTTATTTCAGTGAAGTGCCCACAGTTTTTAAGAATGGCAATATGACATCATCCCCCTGCTACCATAGGGTGCCATTAATGCGTGGCTGGGGACTGTGCTTTGACCTGCCCCCATCCCATCCCAGACTCCCACTTGGCATCCAGGCTCTTGTGGCAGCCTACAGCTCCTGGCTTCCACAGTGCTGCTGGAGAGCTGTGAGCACAGGGATGGTGCACCAGTCCTCTCAGCATCACAGTAATGTCAAAAATAATTGTTTGAGCTTTCTTGGAGTGAAGATCTGAGAGCTGTTAGGGAGGCTTGTGTAGAACGTGTTGCTGAGTCCGAATCTGGAGCAAATTCAGATGGTTAACTGCAGGATCACTTGTAAACCTTCTCCTGTCCCCTTGCTTTGTTGTCAATGTGTGTGTTTTGGGTGACAGGAGGGCTTACTGTGCAATATCCTTGTTTTGGTTGTGCTTGCTGGGTTTTTGTTTTCTGACTTTGCAGGTAACCTGAGCTGAGAATGGCTTTAGTGGAGAGAGGTATTAAATAACCCGTAAAGATAAAAATGAGAGTTTATTCTTGAAAATTACGAATAGGCTTCTGTGCTCATTTGCCCTAATAAATTTAGGACAGCTTCTAGCTTATCACCATTCTGCAACAGCTAGACAGTGGCTTTCTTCATCTTTTCCTTTCATTGTTTCTAGTTACACAAGTTTATCTTGCATGTTTTGCAGTCTTCCTTCCCTTCCCTTTCCCCTCTCCCCCGTATCAGACTGCTAAATAGCCTTTTATTGGGAAATTCTGGAGAGAGTGTTGTCAGCCAGCTTAGGTGTGTTTTTGGGGGCTAGAGCTGTGACAGCTCTGGATTTGTGACAGCTGCAGACCATTTGCAGCTGGCACAGTGTGGTGAAAGGACTGAGCTTGTTTCTGCTCTGCTGGTGAGTTGGGGCAGCTCCTGGGCTGGTGGGTGAGAGGCTGTGCCAGGGCAGTGTTCTAGCAGGGCTGAGGCACTCCTCAGTGCTCTTCTTGGTGTGTTGCCTTTCAGTGATGGTGAATAAAAGACACTCAATAAGAAATTGTGGAAAAAACACTCTTAAAACTTGTTTCGTTTAACTAGTAAGATTTTGGTGAATGTAAAAGAGGCTCCTTTCACTTGCATCTCCTTGTTTTTCAAGCAACTTGTGATGTTTAAGCATCCTGACTTTAAATAAATAGAATGTGTAGTCTTTCCCCAGGAGGATGAGAAGGAGGTGGTTGATGTTACTGGTTTTACTTTGATATAAAAACCACTCGTGAGCAGTTTGGGGTCACTTGAAAGCAAAGGTACAAACTGTTGGAGGCTGGCTTCTGGTACTTCTGGACATCTGCTGGCAAAAGGTAACCTGTGAATTCAGTGTTACTTCTGCACCAGGTGAAGTATTTTTTACACTGTCTTGTTGCTTTCCAAGCACATTATTTACTTTTTTTTTTAAAATCCCCAAGCAGGTAAGTTACCAAGCCCTGCGGCTGCTTTGCCTTATTTTGCCATGAGGTTTGGGTAGCTGGAACTTTTGGGAAAGGTTCTCTTGGAAGTTCTTATGGTTCTAGGTCTTTGGAGCTCACCACCATAAATCCAGTATACAAAGAAGAGGCCCTGCTTCAGAGTATCTTTGGAGTTCTGGAGTGGTTCCTTGTCTCCTCATTACTTGTAAAACCAAGTCTGGAAGAACCTGCGAAGTTCTGGTCAAGTTTTTGGGCACAGCCCCAAAGAAACCATGCACACATTCTTCTCTGCTCTTTGACTGGGCCACCTTTAAGAAGGAGAAGTGTTTCTGTTCAATTGCACACAATGTGCTGTGGTTAATTTGGGGACTTTATGCTTTCATGCAAGATGACACTTGACCAAGCGTAAAGTTAGTGCGGCGTGAACAGATGATTCCTGATTTAGCACAGGACTTGTCCTTACAGAGTTAAG